TCTCTCTCTCTCTCTCTCTCTCTCTCTCTCTCTCTCACTGCTGTACTGGGAGAAGCACAGGAGTCAAGCAGCCTTGGCCTTAGTATATAACCCACCAGAGAGTCATCACAGAACAAATTCCTCCCTGGTATGAGCTTGCCGTAGATCCTGGGTAGGAGGGCCCTAAACCACTCTAGTCATAAAGAGCTGTTCTAGATAGGGAGATCTTGATTTTTACCCAGTAGGAAACATGCCTGTCACAGCAGGGACATGGGTACTACAGGTAGGCATCTAATAGGTAGAGGTCAGGAGTGCTCTGAATGTATTACCAGAGCACAGAAGAGGAATTTCCAGTCCACAATGCCAATAGTTCTGGGGTTGAGAAACCTTGTTTTAAAGTAGTTCTACCTAGGAAACAGAATTTGATAAGAGGACCACTCATTTATTCACCAAGTGTTTACTGAACATCCACTATGGAAGTCTTTATCTGCCTCCATCCTTAAAGGTAGAGTATCTACAGCAACTATAAACTACACAATACACCTAACTACACAATGTTTGAAGAACTCTGAAAGGAGCCCAAAATACCAAACAAATTCACCACATCCTAGAGTGTCTATACTTTTTCTGTATACTTACCTCCAGGGCCTGCATTCGTTTTAAGAGCATTTTGTTTTCGTTGTTCTTAATCTTCTCTTCATAGAATTCCCGAAATGTTTTTTTATAGATTATCTTCATATTGTACTTCTTAGCCATTCTGTCCAAAAAAGATTAATGGAAAGGCTTTCAGATGTTTGTAATTTCTTTTTAAAAATTATTTCATCAAATTTATGTGTGTGTGCTTTTGGGTGGTGGGCAGAGTACAATTTGAGGGTACTGGTTCTCTCCTTCCACAGTGTGGGTCCCAGGGACTGAACTCGAGTCATCATGCTTGGCAGCAAGTGCCATTTCTTGGGTCCTTTAATTTCATAGTTGACTTTATAAGTGAGAGCAGTGACATCTGGGTTTAACTAGAAAGAGTACTCTTTACTTATGTTGAACAAAAATACAAATGGAAGATGAGTAACAACTTACATGCCTATGAAGAAACAAACATTCTAAATATCTATAAGCTGCAGACATGTCTTCCTTTAGCGTGACAAATAGGTCATGGAACAAAGGGCCACATAAGAGCACTTTTCTATCAGCTCTACTTTATTTACTTCCCCACATCCAACAATGATGTCAACATCTTTCTTAGAATATTCCTTTTTTAGCTGGGTGGTGGTGCGCATGCCTTTAATCCCAGCACCTGGGAGGCAGAACCAGGCGGATCTCTGAGTTTGAGGCCAGCCTGGTCTATAGAGTGAGATCCAGGACAGGAACCAAAACTACACAGAGAAACCCTGTCAAAAAAAAAAAAAAAAAAAAAAAAAAAAAAAAAAAAAAAAAAAAAAAAAAAAAAAACCCAAAACAAAATAAAACAAAAAAAAAAGTAGGATATTCATTTTTATCTCCTGTATTCTCTGGTAAGATAAACTTTTTTTTTTTTTTAAATCAGAAGTCTATCTTGGACGGCTTCTTGCAGATTGTTTACAGGTATTTCTTTAACTGTTAAGGTTTTGAAGCTTGCTCCAGAACCTACTTACTTCGCTGTACCAACTACATGGAATGTTGGAACCTGTCTCCAGCTTTCTGTGACACTAATTAACATCACTGCTCATTAGCTATCATCCCTGGATGTGTCAGACACTCTCTAACTTCTCGTCTTCATCAATGCAGTGAATTCACCCTCTTTCTTCTATACTCCCTGTGGTCAATACATCAGAAAGTTCTCTTTCTCTTACCCACAACATGTCTACTTCAAACAGCTCCACTTCTCCCCACATCCATTCACTGCCAGCCTGCACCAATCACTAGCACCATCATGCTGTGCCCTGCTTCCAGTCCTACTCTCCATCAATGAACTTCCCAGGCACAGCCAGATTAAGCTTTCAAATATACAAAGCTGGTCCTATTACTAACTATCCTTTGCAGTTCCCTTCACTGGGCTCCAGGACATAATTCAGAATCCTTGCACATGGTCTCCAAGCCACTCATTTCTAACGTGATACTGCTGCCTTTAGCAGCTAGTCTTTGGTTCAGCCTGCTAGTCTGTCCTCCTCTTCTTGGCTCAGCCTCTATGCCACTTCCTGAGTTTTGTAGGAACATCATTCCTGTCTTCTACATCCATATCCCATTCAACTTAAACATTAGTCTTAACAATTCTCTTCCTGGAAATGATTTCAGGGAGTGGGGAAAGGGGGAAAAACATACAAGACAAAGCTCAGTGGGAGGGGGCAGGTGAGAGGAGAAGGTACGAGGCATGGCAGAGGCTCCTGCACTTGTCCACTGCAGAAGGCACACATAGAGACTGGGTTGTTAACCGAGTGAGCCTTTCTTGGAGAGAAAAGCGTGAGTATAGATAGGTACTTCTTTTATTTAAGGCAACTCAATTATAATAAATCTCCTAGACAAAACAAGCCACTAGAAACAAAAGCAAGTTATAGTCGAGAAAAAAAAGGGAAAAACACATCATTACAAAGAACCCAATTTGAGCAATTTGAATGGACTTTTCATTCAATAAGTTAATTACAGTATTGTTTGGTTTCTTGATTAAATGGCAAGAAGCCATTTCAACCTCACCATTTTTAGACTGAACATTCAGATCACCAAATGCATGCACAAACACATCAGGCCATAGCCATGGGTTTTCTTGTGAGACTATTATGTCCTTCCTTCCTTCCATCCGTACTGAGCCTCCACTGACTCAGCCCCAGGAAGGAGGAATACAAGCAGGCTTTCTCGGTGTGACTCCTCAGCTCCCCACAATCAGACACTCTCTTCAGTTCTTGCCCCACCTGTGACACATGCTGGTAAGGTCCCTTCTCCACTTCCTCAACTCTAGAACCTTGCCCGACCACTGGCCTACACTTCCATTAGTGTTTAGGCATCTCAACCACACCTGAACTGTCCAGGACCTCACTGAGCCAATCACACACACTGACTATAATTAATCTACTGAAAAACCTGTATTGGAATCACCTGAGCCTCACAGTCAAAAACTAAAACAAGTATTTTAATTAACAGACCTGGACGTTCCTGCCTAAGATTAAATCAACCACATTTGGTTAACAGAAAAATCAGAAAGAGATTCCCACTCAACACAGGCAGACTAGAAACTCTTATCAAACCCACAAGCAACAAACTAACTCCAGATGACCAATCCCATCACAAAACACAAGCAATAGGAAAAGGCCATGAGGATATGGGCAATACTAACTGGACTTAATCGGTTACTTAATAATAATAATAATAATAATAATAATAATAATAATAATAATAGAAAAGGAAAATAATTTGTGAGGAGGATATGAGAGGAATATGGAAAGAAGTGAATATGGGAAGGGATGGATTTCATAACTGTAACTCTTACATGAAATTCTCAAAAAATTTAATGAGATGAAAACAATTATATATTAAAGCAAGAATCTATGACTTTCTAAGTTTATTATGTTCAAGCAATTTAAGTAGAAAATAATGCTAAGTTTGCTTAGCATTAAACAATAGTTTTCACTTTATTCTTTTATTTTTCAGAGTCTACTAAAACTACTAATTTTGTTAAACAAAACCACCAAGCTAACATACAAAACAAATGAAAAGTTGAAGGGAAACATTTTTCCAAAGCTGAATGATTTAAAATAAAAAGCACACTGATTTAAAATTTCAATTTTGTTGGCAGCTTATATCTACAACACTGTGTTCAGTGTTTTAAAGTCCTGCCATGGCTTCATTACTTGATTTTCTCTTCCCTCCCCTTCGTCTAGCCCCAGCTCTCCACTTGCTTCCCTTGTTTTGGGACAGTCTTAACTGTAGCCCAGGCTGGCCTCCTGTATCAGTCTCTTGAGTGTGGGACTACAAGGATGAGCCACCAAGCTAGCACAACTCAAGAAAACCTTATGTGACAACTTTACAAGGTGACCGAGTCTAGATCAAAAGAATCACCAGCTAAATCTAGGTAAGCAAAAACCCTCCTGCTTCTTCAGTTAATATTCAAATTAGAAAAACGTTTGTTTTTAAAAAGTACAAAATAAAATTTGGTCATGTGTATATAGTCTCTATCTAAGTTGGCTTTTATTATATTCGGGTGCAGGGAAATCCTGCAGATTAATGTGTCTGTCTGTCTATTTATCTATCAGTCTATCTGTCTATCTCACAAGGTCGTGAAGCCACAGGATAAAGTCCAGACCATCAATTTCTCCTGTGCTTGCAGTTCACTAGAATTCTTAGGAATTAATGTGGACAGGAGGAATATAGCCAGGAATCATGACTTTATAATCAACACTGTAGGAAGCTGGGCATGGTGGTTACACGCCTTTAATCCCAGCACTATGGAGACATAGGCAGGTAGTTCTCTGTGTGGTTCAAGGCCAGCCTGGTCTACATAGCGAGTTCCAGGACAGCCAGGACTACATAATACTGTGTCTCAAAAAAAAAAAAAAAAAAAGAAAAAGAAAAAGAAAAAAAAAAGGAAAAATAAACAAAATAACTACTCCACAGGCAGTTTCAAAGCTATACTGAAACACAAATTTTGATAAGCTCTTTCAAAGGGAGGATCTTAGACTTTCTCATTTTTATATTATCAAAGTTGTGTCTGCTACCTGAAGGGTCAGTTACCTTCTACCTTGAGTAGAAGTGGCTGGCTCCCTTCTCTTAGGAAAGAAAGCTATTTAAAGTGGACACCATGAGAGCTGGAGAGATGGCTCCGAGGTTAAGAGCAGACTGCTCTTCCAGGTCCTGAGTTCAATTCCCAGCACCCACATGGTAGCTCACAACCATCTGTAATGAGACCTGGCGCCCTCTTCTGTATACATAATAAAAAAATAAATCTTTAACGTGGACACCACTTCTGCAGCCCAGGCTTTTTCTTGGGGTTGCATTTAAAATACAGTATGAATAGCAACATTACTTTTGTCCCCTTAGGAGAAGGGATGAGGGGAAAGAAAAAGCAACAGATCAAGACATTCTTACTCAGTTAGCAATGGAAAATAGACCAAGAATTCAGGGACATCCACAACACCTTCCAAGTTGAAGTCATATTTGCAGCCAAATAAAGGATAACTTCCTTTCTTCTGGAATTTCACAGTGTATATTTCATTTCCAAATGATTCTGTTTCCGAAGCCTCAAGGCGTCTTCTATTAGGGTTATTCCACAACCAAAATAAAAGAATTATGATTAATGTTTTTGATCCTATCAATCAAATCATGCAAGTGAAAAACTACATGATGCAATTTTTAAAGGTATCTTACTAATTTTAATTGGATTCAAGTTACTTACATCAGTTCGAAGCTATTGGGAGTGGTACCAATAAAATAGCCCCCAGGGTTAAGCCTTTCACAAGCATTTCTAAGCATCATGTCAGCCTGTTCCAAGGACTCAAAGGCATAATGACAGGCAAACTGACAGCTGCAGATGTCAAAGCGCATTTCTGAATCAAGGAATTTTTTAACCAAAAGTTCCTGTAACAAATGTAAATGGGTTAAGATTCCAAATGAATACAACATAGATTAAAAGTGGCTTTAGTAAATTACTAGAATGTCAGGTTCTTAAAGTAAACATTCCCTGACAGTATCAATCGATTTCTTCAGTCTTTGACCTATTCTTTCTCTTGTCATGTACATATTTTACAAGGACCATTTAAAAGGAGTATTCTTACCCTGGCCTAAAACAATTTGCAGGTCTGGGTAGATCGCACAAGTGAAAGTTTCTGAGTTAGTTGCCCAGAACCAATGTAAAAAAAAAACTGGGTGCAGTTTTGTGTGATTGTAATTTCAACAGTGGGGACAGAGAAGCAGTAGCACAAGCTTACTGGCCAGTCAGCCAGCCTAATCGAGGATCCCAAGGCACCTGGGAAAAATTCTGCTCAGAAAACGAAGAGCAACCCCAGAAGTCAACACCTGGCCAATACACACATATGCATCCACATGAGTATGTCCTCCCCCACCTACCCAACACATTCATATAAAATAATCATGATTCTGATTTTCATAGTGTTTTAAAAATCTGGGGATTCTGAAAATTGTGTTTAAAATATATGTCAGGCCAGAGAGATAATTCGGTAGGTAAAAGTGCTTGTCCTGCAAGCCTGACAACCTGACTTTGGGTTCCTGGGATACAGGTGAATCAGGACATGGTAGGATGGGTCAGCAGACCCACCATTCTCCTGAGATAAGGTGGACACAGGAAAATCCTCTGGAAGCTCACAGGCCAACTAGCCTGGGATATAAAGAACAGAAGCAAACAAGGAAGGCTTCACCTCAAACGAAGTGGAAGGTGAAGACTGTAGCCCTTGGACCTCTGTGGCATCTCTGTTGTCACAAATGAAACCCCATTCTGACACACACACACACACACACACACACACACACACACACACACACTATACTCATAGACACAGAAATAATTAAAACGCTATGTAACATTTCAGTTGGTCTTGACAGCTAAAATAAACTGACATTCAATGATAACTTGGGTAATAAAAAACAAAAAACATTCAGCCTTTGGCGTCTAAAAGAAATAGTGCTTAAGTATGAACTATTTTTAGCAGCATTCTTTTTTTATCCTCATTTTCAAGGCTGAGAACAAAATATGACCACTAAACATGTACCACTTAAACGTTTTAAAATATAATACTTAAAGACAAAGAACATCAAGTTCCCAGTGAGACATCCATTCAGTTCAGAATTTCAGAAACAAATGGAAGGTAGAAAACACAGTGATCCCAGCACGATGGGAAATCCCCCTTATAAACCACAAGTTGGACCAAACACACTTTTAAGTCCAGGTCTATTACAAAATAAAGCAGCCCTTCCCATCCTTACATTCTTTAACAGTGAATTCAACCAACGATGGACTGAAGATATGACAGAGGAAAATTTACTGTTTAAACAAATCTGTAACTTCTTTTCCTTGACGCTTACTTCCTAAACAGTACAGTGTGACTAATTACGTAGCACTTTCACTGCAGCATTAGGTACAATAATAAAATCATCTAAACATGCTTTAAAGAATGCATGAGTATATGTGCAATTATCCACAATAGTATGTCACTTCATACATGGGACTTAGAGCTTCTGTGGACTCTGGGGGACACTAAGGTATAACTATTAAAAAACAAAACCTGACCAAATCAAAAAGCAATGAAGGGATTTCAAATATCCAATTATTAAAGGTAAGCCTTTCCTAAAAGTACCCAAGGATACATTTCCAGTAAACTGAAAATGCATGCCTTAAGATTTTTAAGAATTAATTAAGATTTTAAATTTTAATTTCACACACATTTTAACAAATGAGTCAGTTCTATAAATGGGAGATAAGCATGAACGAGGCCCTGCATTTGATTCCCAACACCGCAGGGAGAAAACAAATGTTAAAAGACGAGGCTGCACAGGTGGTCAGCAGGTAAGGGCACTTGCTGCTCTTGGAGAGGACACTGGTTTGATTGCAGGAACCTACACAGCAGCTTAGAATTGTTCTCACTTCCAGTTCCAGGGGATTCGATACCCTCTTCTGGCCTCCAAAGGTACCAAGCATGCATGTGGTGCATGTAACACATACACAGGCAAACATTTATGCACATAAAATAAAAATAAATCTCAAAATTAAAACAACAAAGGTTCTGTACCTTTGAACAGTCAGCAGTTATAAACTCTGCATTAAAAATATATTCATTATCACGACGACATCTCATGTCTTCATAACGCTGTTGACATTGTTTCATAGAAACATCAGCAATATCTAGAAGGGTAAAGGATGTTAGTAAGTGATAACACAAAACAGCAACTCGGGGCTGGAGAGATGGCTCAGTGGTTAGAGTACTGACTGCTCTTCCAGAGGATCTGGGCTCAATTCTCAGCACCCACATGGCAGCTCACAGCTGTTTGTAACTCCAGTTCTAGGGTAACCGACACCCTCACACAGACATACATACACTAATGCACATAAAATAAAAATAATTTAAAAAAATAAAAAATAAATAAAGGTGTAGACCACTACTGCCCAGGGGAAAAAATGTATTAAAAAAAAAATAGCAATTCCACTGATAAGCTGGGGTGGGTGGGCATGAAATTCAGGCTAAAACAAGGAAATGGCTGTGGGGTTCCATCTAGTTTCTTTAGACAAAGGCTTTCTTCACAGTACTTATGCTGGGCAAGTGCTGGATGATCAGTTTTGTCATCGCTATTAGGTGTGTGAAAGTCAGAGGACAGCTCTCAGGAACTGCTTCTTTCCCTCCGTCATGGGATCTAGAGATCCAACCTCAGTTGTCAGGCTGAGGCAGCAAGGGCTTTGATGCCTGACAATCTTGCCAGCCCCAGGTTTTAAAGGCTCATTTAAAATATGAGGCGGACAACTTAGATTCCAATTTGAACTATGAAACTTAACACCATCTACAAGCTCATTTTGTAAATACCAAGTTACTGTTTTCACACTGAATGTCTCTGTTCTTGTCCTTGCTTTGAGATTTGCACTCGTGACAGAAAGAGGGATGATGGGTACTGTGTAGGTGTCCTGTGTTCTTCACCCTCACACCAGTGGGGAAAGCCAGTTTTCATTTAGAATATCCTTCATAAAGCAGTAAGAAGTCAATCTTGGCCATTTGATTCCTATCTCTGAACATCACCATGGTAAAGTATGGAGCAAACTTCTCTTGTTACCACCAGCACCTAGAATACGACTTCTGAGTTGTGAGCAAACTGTTGTGGAATATTACTTTAACTATGTGAAGGTATGTTACATTTGTTTATGCTGCATTTGTTTAACAATGTGAGGATGTGTGTTTAATTATGTAAATGTGTGTTGCATTTGTTTCACCTTGCCTGCCTAAGGTACCTGATTGGTCTAATAAAAAGCTAGGCGGAGGATAGGTGGAGCTGGAAGGCAGAGAGAATAAATAGGAGGAGAAATTTAGGCTTGAGAGAAGAGGGGAAGAAGGAGGAGATGAGAACAAGGGAGATCACACCCCAGGGGCAAGAAGCCAGGCACCAGCCAGCCAGCCAGCCAGCTAGCCAAGAGAAGCAGTAAAAGAAAGATATACAGAAGGAAAGAAAAGTAAAAAGCACCAAGGCAAAAGGTAGATAAAAAGAAAACAGGTTAACAGAAGTTAAGAGAGCTAGCCAAAAATAAGCCTAAGCTAGGCCAAGCATTCAAAACTAATAATAAGTCTCCGTGTCATGATTTGGAAGCTGGTTGGTGGCCCAAAAGAAAAAGCCTGTTACAGCTAATACTGGTCATGTGTTTGAAATAAGTCACTTTAACTTGAAAGAATGATTCTCAAACTCGGGACTATTATACATGTATTTTCAAAGATGAACAGGGTCATTTTAAAGGACACAATGCATAGTACTTGTTACCAGAGATAAAATTTGACTTCAAGTAAAAAAAACAAATACAGTTCTGAAAGAAAGGAAAAAAAAAAAAAACCCTTCTATCAATCACTTTTGTGACTGGTAATATTAAGCAAATTTGATTTCTTGATGTCAGTCACAAGATCTATGTAACTTTGGTAAACAGCATTTTCCAGGTATTATAACACCATTCTGAAACTGTAAGACAGACCAGTGAGTGTGAAGGTAAGGAATACGTGACGTCTGTCAATAAGGCTTCAGATCGCACATTATAACTAACCTTACCAGACTGCCACTTGTTGACTGCTCACCAAAGATGAATAACCACAATTATCTGAAAAGGCTACCACTACCTTTCATTTACAACTGCTTAGTCACCAAAATAACAAAATGACACATTAAATGTAGAAACACTTGTCAGAGTCAACTTGCCAGAATTTCCATTAAACTTTTTGTATGAATTCAAAATCACAGCCTCAATTTCTAACATGGTCAAACATCAACAGCTATAGCCACACAAAGAATCATTAATTCTTCAGTAATATTTTTAGTATATAAGGCTCACAAAACAAAAAAGTGGGAAAAAAGAAACTACTGATTTGAGCAGTACTTTTGGAGGCAACGCTGTTGTACTTCCTGCAACCCATCAAGCAGAACATGATGCCTGGTGGGAATAATAATAATAATAATAATAATAATAATAATAATAATAACAACAACAACAACAACAACAAAAATATATCTTTCCTTTTGGGAAAGAAAAGTTAACATTAACTGTAACAAAACCATCAGGAAAGACTTAACAAATTTTTCAAAACATCATATGCATAGGTCTCAGGAGAAAAGTTGCCTTAAGATATCTTATGCTAGCAAGGAGAACCTTCTAGTTCCCCATTCACCTAACTGACTAAAACAATTCTGATGGTTAACACTCATTAGTTACTCAGCTATTATTACTATCACCATATGCATGTGTGTTGAGCAAGGGCGAGACCAAGCACAGGCAAGCATCTTCCCTTCCACCTTTACGTGGGGTCCGGGGATTTGAACTCAGGCTGCTAGACCTGCATGGCAAGTGCTTCTACCCCACCCCCACCCCCGCCAGCCATTTCACTGGCCCCAAAGTAATGCTTAACTATGTCAGTATCTGTCTTACCAGCACACACCAGCCTGCTAATTCTCCCCTTCCTCCACTTGAGCAAATCTCCACCTTTTCCACATCCCAGGTCCAAAACAGTTAGATCACGATTTTTTCTTTGTCGTACCTTTTCTAAAAATTCCCCTGAAAAAGAGAGAAATCAATCATATTGCATTTCCTCTTTTTACTACAGCCACTTCTTTAAAACCTACTAACTTCTGTCTGACAAAGCTGGCAAAGCATATGAACTATATATAACACATTAATGTATTATATAGTGTAATCTGTATTCCAAAACTTAACATAGTAACAACTTGATCCTTTAGCATTAAAGGGTACACATATACCATTTTACAATGTTAAAGTGGTTTTTTGAAGGCTATTTTCAAAATTTGAGTCAACATTACATAATATTTAAGTTCTAATTTTAAAAAGCTACAACATCTGTGATGAGAGGAATTAATTTGTTTTTCTTATAGCTTTCTCTATTTCTTCCCATAAGCCAATGTTTAACTTCATACATACTTAAACTGAAGTAGTTATAGATAATAGTAATTGATTCCTATTCTCTATAATCAGGCTTAAGAAATACCCAAAAACTATAACATCTTTTACCTCCTAAACAAGCAAAAGTTCAAACAATGGTTTAAAAGGCTTATTAATAGTCTGAGATAAATGAAGTACTCAGCAGTACTAAAACTTGATACAATAATGAATCTTACACCTATTTTTCCTGTTTTATTACTCTGCATACTTTATAATTTGTGTATATACTATTTGGGTAGCTAAAATATTCAGTACAAATATTTCTGCCTTTTAATATAGATTTAAATAGCACCATAAGTATTCCATATTTAAGTTTCTGCCATGAATCTTATACTTATTCACCAAAATAACAAAATGACATGTTAAGTGCATAAACATAAAGTCAACTTGCCAGAATTCCCATTAAACTTTACTTGTCTGAATCAAAAAAACAGACAGCCGGGCGGTGGTGGCGCACGCCTTTAATCCCAGCACTCGGGAGGCAGATGCAGGCGGATCTCTGTGAGTTCGAGGCCAGCCTGGACTACCAAGTGAGTCCCAGGAAAGGCGCAAAGCTACACAGAGAAACCCTGTCTTGAAAAACCAAA